AAATTAATTTTATTTATGTTTAGTTAATTAATTCAGTTAATTTGTATATATTAGCTTTCTTCTTGATCTAAGTTGTAAGAGTATTTTTTAACAACTTATTGAAACTAATTTTCTTTCATATCTTATTTTAAGCACGCTACTATATTTATATATATATATCGTTCTTAAAATTCGAAATTCGTACGTTAATTCAAGAAGCAAATTAATCCACTTGCTCTTTGCCAGGGTAAGCCCCTAGCAAGGATTAGTAGCCATATCATGTGGATTTCACACTTCGGCTATAGACCTTTCTGCACCCCTAGCAGTAGCGGCAGAGGTCTAGGTCCTGACTAGCTCAGTGGATTTCATTTCCTAAGTATGACCTCTCTCCGATAAAGTAAAATTTGCCAACCGTAATAATAAGTAGGAAAAGCCTGCTCGCTTCAATATGAAGGTCTGTTCCTGAAGGGCCCGAGAATTCCTAGTTGAAATTATTGCTTCGTTTCTGCTGGTTAAAATAAGCATTAAATGTTGGAAAAACATGACCAGATAAATAATAAATTAAGTGCGTTAAATAAAATATTTTAAAATGAGATTTTTTTTTAAGTACTTTATGAAAACACTTCTTGTAAACATTTTCGATTAAATTTTTTTTTAAAGAAATTCAAATTAAAAAAAGGAAGAAGCTAATGAATGAAATTATATATATATATATATATATATATATATATAATAATCAGGATTGTGACATTTAAAAAATAAAAAAAATAACAATTAGTCATTAAATTAAACTAATTTTTCAATAATATCCGGATATTTTCTACACACAATATTGTGTTATCTTTACTTTCATTTCCAAATTTGTGCGTCCACTTTAGAGTTATTAAAAGGTCTCTTTCCCACCTTCCCTCGCCACTCTCTATATATAGAATTCTAGGCCGAAGTCTATTTTCATAAAAATCTTGGGTTCTATCTTACTTCAGTACAGAATTTGAAAGAAACATATCAGGATACAAAGCCTACTTTGTTCATGGCTGGAGGGTTTTGGGTTGGTGTTTTGGTTGGTATAATTGGCGGTCTTTTAGGTCTAGTCATGAATCATTTTTTACCCATGTTCATGAAACTTGGTCATAATGTCCCAAAAGGCTCTTTTGGGTGGCCTATACTGGGTGAAACCCTCGGTTTCTTGAAACCTCACCCTTCTAACACCCTTGGGACTTTTCTTCAAGATCATTGTTCTCGGTAAGAGTTAAAACTTTCATTTTTACTCCTGTTTTTTTCTTTTTTATTCCACAATGAGACTTTTTTGCCAGTTTAGTGGGAAATGCGATGGGATATTTTCAGGTACGGGAATGTGTTCAGGTCCCATTTGTTTTTCTCTCCAACAGTGGTGTCATGTGACCAGGAGCTGAACTATTTCATTCTTCAAAATGAAGGCAAGTTATTTCAGTGCAGTTATCCAAAGCCTATTCATGGAATTCTTGGCAATGTCTCCATGCTGGTGGCTGTTGGCGATACTCACAAGAGACTCAGGAATGTGGCTATCTCTCTAGTTAGCATTACTAAATCAAAGCCAGAGTACTTGAACGACATAGAAAGAATTGCCATCCAAATATTGACTTCTTGGAAAGATAAACAACAAGTCATGTTCTGTGAGGAGGCTAGAAAGGTGCATATTCCTTCAATTGGGATTACGTTTTGGTTATCTTTTTTTTTGGCTGATGAACTTTTTGTTTCACAGTTCACATTCAATGTAATAGTAAAGCAAGTGCTTGGTTTAACACCGGAGGACCCAGAGAGTAGAAAAATTCTTGAAGATTTTCTTACTTTTATGAGAGGACTTATATCTCTTCCTCTGTATATTCCTGGAACTCCATATGCTAGAGCAGTTCAGGTACTCAAATAGTCAGACTGATCTCTATTTGGCTCTTTAGTATGTTCAAAAGAAGGTTTAGCTAGAGCTAGAGAGACAGCTACATCTTTATTTACTCCAAAACAGAAGTGTGCATTTTCAATAATTATGTGGCTCCTTTTTTTTCTTTTGTTTCAAAAAGAAAGCATGTGATCAACTTTTTGTTGACCCCTCTTTACAGGCTAGAAGAAGGATATCTTCTACTGTTAAAGCAATTATAGAGGAAAGAAGATCAAGAAATAGTAGGAGTTGTAGAATAAGGAATGATTTTCTTGAAATCCTTCTTTCTGCTGATACCTTATCTGAAGATGAAAAAGTGAGCTTTGTGTTGGATTCTCTATTGGGTGGATATGAAACTACCTCTCTCCTAATGACCATGGTGGTGCATTTTCTAGGTCAGTCACCCATTGCATTACAGCAGTTAAAGGTAACCTTTTCTACAGACGCAACCCTGCCTTGACAATATTGTAAACTTCAATTTGCATTATGGATTACTAGTCTGTTTTACTATTTACTACTAATTACATTTTGTTTTTTAAGTAAACAATTAATATTTGTTTACCAATTAATTAATTTGTTTGTGTTATCGATCTTTGGACTGTAGCTTGAGCATCAACAAATAAGAAGCATGAAGGACAAAGATGACTGTTTGAATTGGGAAGATTATAAGAAGATGGAATTTACTCAAAATGTAAGAGAATTTTTTTTTCCTTTTATATATTTTTTAATTCTAAATTTCTGCTTTTCTTTTGTGTTACTTTTAGAACTATAATTAACTTCTTCTTCTTCTGATCATTTCCTGTTGGGCTATCTATACCTTTTAGTTTCAACCATGCATGTTGTAGTTGAAATGATGGTGCATCATTTGGCAACCTTTCTTTTGATAATTACTTATTGATTTTTGGGTGTAGGTCATCAATGAAGCACTCCGATATGGCAACGTTGTAAAATTTGTGCACCGAAAGGCTCTCAAAGATGTCAAATTTAGAGGTCCTTGTTCTTTCAAACATCCCATATATATAATTAATACACCCACAATATCTGCTTTTGCCCTAATCAATATGCATGCATGCATGTAACTTTTAACTTTTAATTAATTACTAGATCTGGATTAGGTAAAATTAATGCATCTTACGTGGTTTCTCTTAATTCTGTTTCTTTTTAAACCTTTTCAGATTACCTAATTCCATCTGGTTGGAAGGTCCTACCTGTTTTTACAGCAGTACATTTAGACTCATCTCTCCATGCAAATGCTCTCGAGTTCCATCCTTGGAGATGGGAGGTAATTATTAATAATTAATAGCATCAACCTCAAAGAATCTTTTTGTATAGGACTGTCCTACAATGCATGTACTTTTCTTGCTTTGAGGGGACCTATTTTTGTACCAGGACATTAAGCTAATCAGCATATTCAATTTTCTTCTCAGCATTTATTGTCGTACGTCTTAGGTTTTTCAGAAAATAAAATTACAGTATCTCACATTATAAATTAATCTCTTTAGTACGGGGAAACCAATTAATTAGCTTTTTTTTTATTTTAAAAACTAATTATTTAGTTTTTATATTTTTTAATTTTTTTGTTTTAATTTAATCATTTTTATTTATGTTGATTTTTTATTTTAAGAAATAAAAAATTAAGTTAAAAAAGAAGAAGAAGAAGAAAAGAGTAACGAGAAAATATAACATCTTATGAAATAAAATAATATTAAATTAAGTATAGTAAATATTTGTTAAATAACTAAATAATTAGTTTTTGAAATAAAAAGATTAATTAATTTGTTTTTAAAAAATAAAGAGACTATTTTATAATTTACTACGCAACATAAGAGAGGAAAAATGATGCTGACAACTTGACAGACCTTCCATAATTTTTATTTTTGAGCATACAAATTAAGAAATATTTGAGTAATTCGACCTTAATTATGTAATCATTAGTATAATTATTTTGTCTCTCTATAATTAATGCAGACTCAAGATCAAACTTGCAAGAAATTTACTCCTTTTGGTGGAGGATCTAGATGCTGTCCCGGATCTGAACTTGCTAAGGTTGAGGTTGCATTCTTCCTTCACCACCTCGTACAGAATTTCAGGTGGTAACATTTTAAAATTATTTTTCAATATTTTAAAGTTCGATTTAAATTTCTTGAGACTAAATGCTGGATTTTTATTTTTTATTTTGTAGATGGACAACCGAAGATGTTGACCAACCCATGGCATATCCATACGTTGAATTTGGAAAAGGGCTGTTGCTAAATTTGGATCCTTGTTCTTTTTGAGCCCAATTTCCCGGGCTATTGCTAAATTTGGATCATTGTTCTATTTGAGCCCAATATCCCCCTACAGGCCTTTGTTCAAGGTTGGGGATGATTTATGATGGGCATGCTCTCCCTTTTCGCTCCCTTTCCCTTTAATTAAAAAAAAAAAAAAAAAACCTTGTACCTTGTTGAACTTATGAAGGCCTTTCTTTCCATCTTACTAAATGTTAAAGGATTGTAATTCTACCAACTCTTTCCTCAACCTCTAGCTTGTACAATATAAAAATAATCTGTCCTTTTGCTATTGCCATTAGTTTTTATTTATCTTTGGTGCTGACCTATGGAACTAAACTAAACAAGAGAAAACATCAAAAGAAAGGTCTTTTTCTTGAAAAAAAAAAAATTAGATATTTAAAGTACTTTCATTTGCAGACCATTTTGCAGCATGTTAATCAAAACAAAACAAAAAAAAAATTGTTTTATAGACGATTTTAACAATGCAAAATAGAAAATCAAAGAAAATGTAATTTTTTTTTAATCACGTACTACGCTAACTTCTTAAGATTATATATATCAAAATAAATTATTGATAATACCCCATCTTGGTACAATTAAACTTAACCCCTTCAACAAGAAATAAGGAACAAGATTAAGCAAGATTATAGCAAAAAATTATTCTATTGATTACTGGCTTTTATTCATTGATTATTCTAATAAAAATAAACCCAAAATCTTTTTGGGGATAATATTTGTAGAACATAAGGCTATAAATATTGTAGCTATAGCCACAAAGCGGAAATTGGAATGGGTTAATTACCTAGCTAGCTAGCTAGCTAGCTGGAGCAAGTTAGTGTTTAGAGCCACTTCACGACAATAGGACTCCTCACTTGGTGCTTATTGTCAGACCATATCAATTCTCCAAATACGTAGTCCTTTATTCCCTTGATTTTTTTGCCTTTCAAGGTAACACTGAAGGTCTTCTCTTCACCAACCTTGTTGAACTCCAACCTCTCTGGCTTAACATAAACAGAAACCCCAGTTGGTTTCCTGGTACGAAGTTTGTACGTACTTGGAGAACCGACGTTTTTAACTCTTCTTGATAATGTGATTAAGCCACTGAATTTGGGGACTGTAATAGAAGGGTAGTTGAAGTCGGAAAGACTGATGGGCTTGGAGGGGCATTCATAAGAAGTATCCGAGAATGTTGCAAGTTGTGTTTCATTATACCCCAAGGCACATAGAAAGTTGAGGTAATCATTGACGGTTAAGTCATAAACCAGCCCTGGATCCATAGCTTGGTTTGCTCTTATGTGGCCTGCTCCGTAACTGAAAGGTGATGCCTCAGTGTAGTTTGCATTCAGAATCGGCTCCACCTCATTATCTCGTGTCATCGCTGTGGAATTCAGGAAATTAAAAAAAAAAAAGAAGAGAGGAGAATTAGATAGCTACAATCAAGATCTGATATGCATTTTCTTGATTGGAATGAAGAATACTGAATAAACTAGAGTTCTCTTAGTTTGCAACTGCACTCACCACTAGTCATAATTGCCGATTTAATTGCTGCAGGACTCCAAGTAGGATGCAGAGTTTTAAGAAGGCCAACTATGCCTGAAACATGAGGACAAGACATTGAAGTTCCTGATACTGAATTAAATACTACTCGTCGTGTATCAAAGTCTTGGTTTGTTGGTCCCTGTGCTTCAGTGTAAGCAGCTATTACACTCACTCCTGGTGCTGTGATGTCAGGCTAAGTATGGAGAAACAGTCACTGAATATTCAATATAATGGAAAACATCTGAAGCAAGAAGTGCAGAACTATTAGAGAAATACCTTAAGAATCTCTGGTGTAACGGTGTTGGGTCCCTTGGATGAAAAAGCAGCCATGAAGGGGGCTGGCTTCGTGCCTATTTTTGTTTCTGGACGAGTGATATAAGCAATGGGAGACCTTTCGAAATCGAAAATATGAATTCTGATCACTACATGATACATCAATTTCATTGCACACCAGCTAATATGATGCCAGATATATGGTTAAGCATGCATCAATTTAAATCATGTAATAGCTAAATGCATATTTGAAGGGGCCTAGCTAATATAAGAAACACAGTCTAAATATCAGGATTGATTTAGTCCAACAGCACAGAATTTGTGATAGGGTAATGTACATGGTAAAAATGACAGTCAGTAATTAGTATGATGTTATCTTACTTAGTGGAATTAATATATTTGAAGATAGCAACGCCGCTGACGTAATTGATATGCGATGCAGGAAGAACGTGAGGATCGGCAAGAATTTCATTCCCAGTATCCTTATCATTGGCAAGAACCATCCCTACAGCACCAGCCAAGGCAGCTTGCTGACCCTTGTCCACTCTTGCATTTATACCTCGAAGACAGACTAAGATCTTCCCCTTCGCTTTTTTGGGATCAAGTGATCCAGCCTTGCACAGCAAACTACATTACACATACCAAAAAGAAAAACTTACATATCTTGAGAGAAAATGTCTAGGATTTCCAGTGCAGCAAGGAATATTAAATGAGTCATTACGTTGTAGGGTAGTAATTAATTAGATGGAATATAGAATCAGAACGAACAATAACATAAATTCTTCAACCCTTACGCATTTTCAATTGATGCATTAGTTGCTCTAGCATCTGCAGCACTCATAAGCGGGAAGAACTTATTCTTTGTCAAGGCCTTAGGTGATAAACTCTCCCCCTGTAAAACCACCAAATTTAGGTGGCGTAAATTTCGTCGGGCATGTCTTTAGTTTAGTCTGCTATGAAAATCATCTTCCTCCTAAGATTCAATGAAGAAAAAAGGCAAGTAGGAAGGGGGAAAAAAACCTTAAAGCTCAATTTGTTTGCAAGGACAACATAACTAGGAAACTCTCTGTCCATGGTACTGGCTCCAACTGTGATCTCCCATGGTGCAACATTGGAAACGGTACCATCGGCAGGACCTGAATTTCCAGCAGAGCAGATCACTACAATGCCATGCTTCACAGCATGGAAAGAGCCAATTGCAACACTATCATTGAAGAATGGGGTAGGGTTTCCTCCTAGGGACACAGACAGTACATCGACACCATCACTGATAGCAGCATCGAATGCTGCTAAGATATCTGCATCAAAACACTCTTCTTCATCAACTGGGGGATAGCAGACCTTGTAAGCTGCCACCCGGGCATTTGGTGACCCTCCTTTTGCAGTTCCGTTGCCCAAGTAAAAGACATTTGCTCCAGCTACAAAGTTGCCTCCTGCTGTTGATAGGGTATGGGAACCATGACCATCGTCATCTCGAGGAGTATCGAAGGAGGAATTGAGATGACCAACAATATTAGCATACCCTTTGTTGAAGTATCTGGCTCCAACAAGCTTCCTTCACATGCACACAAAATTTGCACGGGTGACTAGTTAGCAACCAGAAGAAAATTCCTGATCAGACATTTACAAACAAAATATTTTGGAAACCTATAAAATCCGTGAAGAGTACAAATACAGAACGAAATGCCAACTGTTTCAAGGTGGCATAGCAACTGCCATAACACAATACTTGGTATCGAATTGTACGACAAAAAAGAAAACGAAGAAGATCGTAGAAGATAGAACTTAATCCAGTTGCCTCTTCTGGAAAAAACAAAAATGATCCAATTTTGTGTTAGCAATATGCACTCTGTTAACGCAGGGAGCTGGGAAATAAAAAAATAAAAAAAGTCCCCTAGTTAAACTCTTTACGCTGACTCTTGCGTGCCTGAGAGGGTATTAGAAAATGCTGGAGAAGAGGAAGCTAGAGACTCTAAGCAAACTTTATAATATTTTACTAGAGTATCACTAATACTTAATTTATGATTGTTAATTAAAGAAATCTCTTCTGTCTGGGTTTTGGAATACAAAACATCAGAAAGTGTAAATGCAAAATAGAATCATCAAATATTTTAATCTAAGATATAGATAATCAAATGGATAGGCACTCATTTCGTAGTTTGGGTCAACAAGTTGTAAAATTTAGTTAAGAAATATTTCTAGATAGGCTGTGACAGTACTCTAAGAAAAATAATATATCCATATTGATAGCCGACACCGTTTAATATATATATATATATATATATATGATATTTAATCTGTTTGTTTCTATATGTTAATCATTTTTAAGTTGTAATTTTCAGAAAGAAGTACTGATATGAATATTATCTGAAGATACCAGAGGGAAAATTCAAGGATTGCTGGCAGAAATGATACCGCGGCTAGCTTTACAAAAAAATTCCAAAGGGATAGGCTTAATGGATACCAGCAATCCCCACCATAATGAAGAAGGAATATTTGACTTTATTGAAATCATTTGCCGCATATACAGATTCCACAAAATCCATCGGCCCTTTTGAATATCCCCACCAGGCCGCCACCAATTTTCTGACTCTGGTGATAGGCCGTTTACAAGAATTATCACCATAGAAAAAAAAGCATAGAATCTTCTATGCATGCCAAAGAATGTTAGCCGAAAGCATAGAGGATTCTTCCATCACTAACTGCAGAAAAATTACGGCAATGAACATATGATCACTCAACCAATATGCAATGTTTTTTTACTTGATTATATCACCATAGAAACACAGTAAACCTGAAATATTTTGTTGTGCTAACTGTGAAAACTAACTAATAAAGAAAAGTTGGTAACAAAACAGACCTGTTGCAGTGGAAGCCAGGATCAGAGCCAATTTGACATATTCCTTTCCACTTTGATGGAATCGGTCCCAACCCTTCATCACTAAAGCTTTTAGATTCGGGCCACACTCCTAGCACATTCCATTTACAAAAATTAAAAATTTAGTAGTGATGGTAAAGAAAGTCCAACAAGATAGCAAACTGGCAATACATTTTAGCTTTTAGACTCTCTCTTTCGAAAGGTATCGAGTTAGAGCATCTATTTTAAAACCAAAACGAGATAACAAATTAATACCATAAACAAGCAAAGGTGAGGAGAAAGCTTTTGGATCGCTCAGGCACGCTATCCAAACTTGGGGGGATAAACGTGGAGTTGAACCCAATAATCTTTATAAAAAATAAATAAACAAAAAATATAAAAAGGATGAGTTAGACTCACACCTAGCTAGCTAGGAGACTGTAATGTGAATTAAGACGGATATACAGATACTCCATAACTGCCCACTCGTAACATTAGAAACGACATAGAAAGGGAAATAAATAATATCCAGGCAATAGATTTATGAAGATTTAGTGAAGTTCTATAGTTTAATATTGCAATTCTACACTCAAAGAGAAAACCCTTCATTTAATGAGTTCTTTACTTTAATTTTTTTTCAATAAGTATCTCCATCTCAGGTTAAAGATAGGTTGAAGTTGAACCTGTTTCAAGAGTAATAAATTCTTGGTAGACTTTTTACCTTTTTATTTTTATCATATTTGGAGGTGGGCTAGCCAAAGACAACAGCCAATGAAGGGTTTGAAAAATCAGAATGAACCGAACGTGATTCGTGGAAACTTTTGAACGCTGTCCTAGGAACATTATTTTCATATACGTGTGTGTGTTTTTCCGATTTCCAACTGAAATCTTTAAGTCAACTATGCATGTTCAGATTATTTTAATGTTAGATCCGATCTGCACTAGTAGTAGATTAGGTTGTTAAATCAAATTCAACTTGGACAATTCAATAAACGACAGCTGCTTCTAGACTAGAAAACGACACCTTAATGTCATAACTTAACATATTCAACTTGAAAGCTCTAGGTTTAAATTTTGTTGAAAAAATAAATGTTACTTTGTTTTCATTGCAATAAAAACTTCACTATTATTTCTATATAGTACAGGCTCTTGTCGATAAGACAATGAGTCTACAGGCCAACCAGCAATTATATCTGTTCCTGCTACAAATTTCGGAGGATAAAAAAAAAAAAAGCCTAAAATTTGCTTACCAGTATCTAGGTTTCCAATAATTGTATCTTCACCAAATCTTGCTTTCTTCCAAATTGAGCTAGAAGGAACCACTCCATCTTTTTCGAGTCCAAGAAAGCTCCATGAATGAGTTGTGTGTAGTTTTCTTCCTCGGTTCAAGAAGACCGACACTACTTTTGGATGCTCTGCATTGGATAAGGACAATAATTCAATAATTATTGACGAAACAAAACAGAGGCACAAACAGAACAAAACAGAGCAGCAAGAAGGAATAGTTGCTCACTAGCTATCTCAGCTGCTACTTCACCTTCTAAATTTGCAGCAAAGCCATTGATGTGGCTTGTGTACGAGTAAAATATAGCATCTTGAGCGAATTCACGACTGTTCCATAAAAAAAACAAAAACAGGTATATCTAACTATGGAAAAACAGTCTGTAGCTATACACTTGAACATCCATTACCTTCCCAAGAACGATCCAAGAAATTCATAATGAGAATCCTTTACAAGATTTGCATCGAAGGACGAGAGTTTTGGGCCGTGTGAATGCCCTCCCAAGTACACCACATATGACTATATAAACAGAAGAGAAAAATCAAAGATGGTGAAATATCAGGCTGCCACCATTGCAACAACCTCTAAAAAAAAAGTTATAGTGGGTGTGTGGTTTAGTGTATTGTTAATTTCTACAAGGATTGAATGCTCACCTTTTTGGAGGCAAAGGTGGGTCTCTGCAGTAGAGTGAGAAAAAGAAATGGTAAGAGGCAAAGAGTAGGGCTTGAAGGTCTCATTGCTTGCTGCCTCTTTTAGTAAATAATAACTTCCTTCCTCTGCTACTTCCTTGTTTCTTCTGCAGGGGCCTTCCCTTTATACAAGAAGGATGGAATAGAATAGTACAGCGACACCCCTCTCGATGCTGAAGTAGCTCTCAATACCTCAGCTATTAATTAATTTCGTTGATTAGTGCATGGTATGCTTTTCATTGATTTAAATACCATAGAGACTTGGAAAAAAAATAAAAATTCAGCTATCAATATCCTTAAAAGTTGATTTGAAGACACTATTATTAATTAGTTTTTTTTTTCTAAAAAGTATCGAGTTTGAACTTTTCATTTGTAATTAAAAAAAGATATTATTATTTTTAAAATTAATAAAAAGATCAATCCTCTATCTTTTTGTATATTAACTATTTACACTTGGACCAATTTTAAGGCAATTCAGTAGGATGTATTTGAAATATAGTTTCAACTAGTTTTTTTTATTCGCACTATATTACGGATCCGATAAAACATATAAAATTATTTTTTAAAAATTATTTTAATTTAATGTTTCATGTGATATTATGCATGTACTAAAATGTATCAAATCAAAATTAAATAAAAATTCATTCAATTATATAATTTTTTAATCAAAATTTTTATTTGACTGATTATTTTTTATTTTTTTCATAAATTTTTGATTAAAAATATTATTTATTTATCTCTATCCACAAACTAAAAAATTTATAATAGTATAAAAAATGTCAAAAATAATGGATTCTTTGTTAAAAACTTATTTTATAAATAATTTTTTTAAAAATATTGTTTTTCCATTAAATTTTTTTATTAAAAAATTAGAGGAAAAAAAGGAACAAAGTGACCAAAATGAAACCAAAAAAAGGACTAAAATCAAACTAAAAATTTTTACAGACTAAAAAAATAATATTTAAAAAAAAAGAATTAAAGTGTAATGTCATGAAAACTTTCATAATAAAAATCTTAAAAATGTTTGAAAACTATAAAAATATCATTACATAATAAAATAAATAGTACAATTAAATAGTATAAATGAATATAGGTAAACGGTATTTTAAATAATAATTATTCATTTTATTTTAGGTTTTTTTAATGACACAATGATTTCACATGCAGTTGTTGCGAAATTATAATGAAATAACAAGGAATAAAGTACCAAAACTGAATTACCATATAACGTTGTAAGAGAAGTTATAATTCATGTTTTATTCATCATAACTGAAAAGAACGTAGGAGAAAAGGCCATCAACTTCGAATATTTTGTGATTCATTAGGAAATAGAAAGGAGCAAATAAACCTCAAGGAAGACAGAAGAGAATGGGGGAATCTAAAAGCATCTGACCTTCTTTACAAGGATAACATAACTGGCCAATCATGAACTGCCACAAGCAGAACTTTGATGATAGAGAGAAATTGACTGGGGTCCATTTGCGGCCAAGGTTTGTACCAAGGGGAAAGCGGTCACCTTGCTTCCATCCTCTTCCTTAATTTGTTGTTTTTTTCGTGGTCCTCTTCCTTGGAGTTTTCTTGGAGTAGAAAGAACGATCCAAGTAATGAATGTTTCAATATTCCTCTCGTCCTGGGCACATTTGTAAGCAAGTAAGAGTGAACACTATTTGAAAAAACTTTATAAGAGCGAATAATTCCCATAATTACTTGAAGTTTTTTTTTTCCGAGCAATTCGGGAGATGAGAAAAATATCGGATTTTTTTTAATTAGAATTTTCTATTATTTTTGTTATTTTAAAACTAATTTTTATGAGTCTAATTTTATCAAGTCAAAAATTTTATTGGGCCTAATTTTAACTAGTTAATTGTATTTTTTTTTTATTAGTATTGTAAGAAATGGGGTAACGGGTAAAAAATTTGGATAATTCAATTTTTATCCTAATTATTTGTTTAGTTAAAGCCAATTCGGAAGGGAAAAAATGGCACAACAAAAGAAAATGACAAATGTTTATTCGAATTATCCAAATGCTCATGTAGCCCTATGTTGAATGATTTATCAACTAAACTAAGTGTTGCCCAATAAATTTTCTTTAATTTGCTAAAAAGCAACGCATACTTAAATAAAAATATTACTCCTTTGAGGTTTAGGGTCAGTTTGGTATGATTTTTGGATTATGACTTTTGATTTTGAGTTATAATTCAAAAGTTGTTTTTTCATAAATAACTTAAGATAAAAATCAGTTAAAATGAATTTAATATGTTTGGTAAAAATGATTTAAAGTAGTTTTTTTAAAATAAAAAAATGTAATACAAGTTATAATTTATAAGTAAAAACAATTTTTGATTAAATAAAAAATTTGACTCAATTTATAATAATTTTTTCATTCAAGTTAAAAGTTATTTCTAATTAAATATAAATGTGACTTTTTATCAATTCAAAAATTTAAAAATAACTTAAATCAGTTTGTAAATATCATACAAAACATAACATGATTAGTTAGTACATATATAATCTCTATATTATCTATCTAAAATTTGAATCTCATTTCACCAGAAAATATTTTGTTTATGGGTAACGACTTTGTATGGACAATATTTTGTACCAATGCACCAACCAGATTGTGGATAATGTATTTGATAGTAGTTTATTGAATATTATTTTAAGAAACCAAAATGAATTTCGGGAAAGAAAGGGATAGGTACGTGTGGATGGATGCTGAATTTGTCAATGACAGTAATGAAAGGGAATTATATTTCTTGTCACCTGCGTCGGATTGATGAGTGGGTCTTGCTTTCACTCTGCAGTAAGCAAGCGAAAATTAGGACCTTTTGCTGTGGATGGAAGAAGAAGTTTCCTTTATATGTATGCGCACACTGGACCACCAAAATATGCAGTGGACCTAGAACAAGGGATGTCATAATTCTAGGAGATTAAGTTGGTGTACATAGAAGAAATCAAAGATATAGGGTTTGATCCTATCACATTGATTTAGAAATTGCCTTTATCATGCCCTGCAAGATGGAACTCCTTAAAGAGATTCCAATCTTGTCTTTGAGAAGTTGAAAATGAGTATTCAGAAGTGGTTTGGTTAGGGCATCTACTAGTTGATCGATAGAAAAGACATGAGTTACTCGAAGAGCATCACTTTGAACCTGTTCTTGAATGAAATGATAGTCTAAGGCCATATGTTTAATATGAGAATAGAAGACTAGGTTGGAGCACAAATTCATAGCACCAACAATGTCACAAGTATATTATCTATGGATGTGGAAGAGAAACACCCAGTTCACTAAGAAGAGAACATATCCAACGAAGCTTAGCTGTCATGGTTGCAACAGAGCGATACTCAACCTTAGTGTAGCTACGGTTCATCGCTTCTGTAGAGCCCCAAGATATAGGATTGCGACTAAGGTAGAAAAGATATGGACATGTAGAGGTGAAGTCGGCTTTGTTACTCCGCCCAATTGACATCAAAGAATGCATGGAGAGTTACAAATGAACTACAATAGAGAACAACGTCATGGTTTAGGGTGCCATAAAGATAATGCAAATAGGCATTTAACGGCACTCTAGTGGTCACTAAGTGCATTGATGCATAAACTAGGATTGCTTGTTTACTCGGATATAAAATATAAGGATGAGTAAGAGATAGGTATTTAAGGTATCCAAGAATGGTATGATACTCGAAAGGATCGGATAAAGCATCGTGCAACAATGAAGAGTGAGTAAAAGAATAGTGGCAAATGGTGTATAATTCGGTTTGGCATCTATCATATACGTGTGAGTAAAAAGATCTTTAATGTATTGACATTGAAAGAGGAATATGCCTTTTGAATGAGAAACTACTTCAACTCTAAGAAAATAGGTTAATGGACCAAGATCCTTAAGATAAAATCGAATTGCAAGGAGATGGATGAACTTTTGTACAACCCTAAGCATTGTTCCCCATAATAATAATATTATTAACATAAACCAAAAGATAAAGCATAGTCCCACTATTGTTGTAGACGGACAAAGATGTGTTGGCATGAGAGTTGGTAAAGTCGAAGGTGATAAAAAAATGACACAACTCATGATAAAAGGTTCTAGGAGCCTATTTAAGGTCATAGATAGTCTTGCAAAGTTTGCAAATATTATCAAGATGATCATAATCAATGAAGCCTTGTGGTTAAGTTATGTGGATATCTTCAATGAAAGAAGTTGCCAAAATGACCATTCACGGATGATAACAAGGCCGAGAATGATTCGAATAGTAGTTAGCTTGACAACTCGGACTAAATATGTTGTAACGCCTACAGCTCAACAAGGAGCCGAGAGTGCCACTATACTATCTCACACCCGATGGTGTAAGGAAATGCACCGTGTCCTCTACTCTAGATCTCTATGACAATACACAGTGAAATTCCTTATTCAATTTAAAATTCAAGGCTTCCTAAGATTTGACTTTTAATGCTAATAAAATTTTCATAACATATGACATAATCTCAACTATTAATGGTGCATTGTATCGCCAACAAATTAATTATTTATTTATTTTTCTCATGGAACCCAACCATAAGGGTGTAGATAGGGTAAGTATGGGTCGAACCCACGGGAAAGTGGCGTAGTCAATAATTTCTATTGTTTGATTGTTCCGTAGTATAAGGAAAGTAAAAGAGGGATTTGTGCTTATCGTAATTTGTAAACGATCGGATGTAAATATAAATAACAATAATGAGAAAGAACTTGGTTGAAGTTTAACATTCACTTTTTGTTTAGCTATTGATCATTGATTCAATTATTAACCTATCCTTAACATGAATATTCATTATAGGACAACAATATGTATGTTATCCTTAATCTTTCCTTAGTGATTCGTTAACCAAATAGACGTTACTTGATTAATTCCCTAGTTATCAAACAATCTGTTAGATGCTAAATAGATTTAATCCAATAATAGTATTAAAGTAAAAAAAGTAGGTGAAGTTAAACCACCATTCTAAACAATAGAAAGATGTAATCTAATTCTACATTTTTCAAGAGATTAAATGAAAACGTATTTATAATCATTAACCCCTAGTTACTACCACCGATAAGTTTATACAAACAATTACATGAATTTTGAGACCTAGCTAGTAATAGTTTATGATGATCAAAGGACTAGCATGCATTCTAATCAATTAATCATACAATCATAACCAAATCATATAAATATATATATATATATATATATATATATATATATATATATAATACTAAAAAAGAATAAGTTTAGAATTAAAATCCATTAATATCTTACAATAATTTAACCAAAAGCTTTACCTTTCTTACTAAGATAGGTGTTTAGTTGTTCATGGCTGATTATAATAGAGAATTTTCTATTTATGATGGCTACTAAAAGTGAGAATCCATAAAATAAAACCCTAAGCATCATTATTTATAGCTAAAAGTAGGGTTAGAACATACACATATCGGTCTCACATACTCACACGACTTGTTCTTCTATTTCATACGATTTAGATCCTCGAGAGCCGATACTACATGGTTTACTTGGATATAAACATATGACCATATGGAATTATGTCGTCATCTCGTGTTGCATCATCTTGCTTCGTGCCTCATTCTTGGAGTACTTCTTATTTAACCTCACAAGGGTGTGTCTCATCTTCAATGCACTTTGTGTGGAATAGCTATCGCCTACGTGTTACTTCTTTCCTCTTGGAAGACATTTCAACCTTAACACATGCATGGGCATTTGGTTTTCTTGCCTTGGGCGTGTTGAGAACTACTACCCTCGTGGCTTTATTACTAAGTAATCCATATGGTTTCACACGACCAAGTGGCTTTTTTCCTTTGTAATATGCATGGCCGTGTGACTCCTAAGCTTCCCTAGTGACTTTTGTTTCTCCTTACTTTGACTTAGGTTTCTTTGCTTAAGTTCACCATCTTTCTTACGAAATTGAAATTGTTATCTTAATCTTAATTTACTTAATATAATACAATAAAAACTAGAAGGTTCGATGTAAAAGAGTATAAAAATCTTGCTTATTATGCACTCATCAACTATTTTATTTTCATTCTTGAATTAAAGCATAAACTTAAAACAATGTTAATCACTTTATTCCATTTCATTTCTATCCTTGGATTAAAACTAACAAGCACATAATTCAAGCCTAATTTATTAATAAACATAATTCATCTATAAAAATTTTATTTACCTTTAATCTCATACATACATACATACATACATACATGTATATATTAACACATCCAAAATAACAAGAGTTTATAATTTACAACTCAAAATGATAGAATCTAGGTAATACCCAAAAAATGATTGAAACCTAGCAATGGTTTAACCTTCAAAATTTAAACCTAGTCCTATAGTACATGATTTAACAAAATCTAAAGCTTATGGATAGCATCCTTAACATATCTAACCGATCCTTAAGCATTGTTTTGTTTATTTATACCATAAGACATAACAAAATGAGCTAAAACTTAATAAGTGTAACTATGCATGAATGAAATGAAAATCAACATTTTTCATGCTTGATTTGTTTTTTTGCCTTTCGGGTGCACCTTGTTGGATGTATATAAATTCAGTCATTTTTAGGCATAAAGTCTTATAAAAGTCATAGAAGCTCTAGATATGTTCGATTCAATGAACCTCATAAGGGTTAATCATTTCTCTTCTCCCTCATACATATTCGAATTCATCACCTCAATTATTCAATCACTATCCAACATCTACACCATGGTTAATCAATATTCAAATACTTACTCATTACTATCATAATGTATAATCATCAATTTAATACATATCAATTACCATAACAATGTATATTCACCAATTAAGGTTAAACCAACAATTAGTTACATAGCCCAAACCTAAGAATTTCAAAGTCTTACATGAATACCATATTACCTATGCTAAATCAACAATTAAACACATACACATCATTCATATAATGGCTAAACTTCAATTAATTGATTATCCAGTTACATCATAATACAAAATCTCTATTTAATAATGAGTTTGTCCTATAATTGATCTTTGTACAATTCTTTTTTTATTGAGATCCTCTATTATTTTTTAACTTGAGTGAAACTCTCTACTCTTATAAATTTATTGATTGAGACCCTCCGTTATAATGCCGTTAACTATTCATCCTATGTGATAAGTTAAAACTAACAATAGTGAATCAAATAACGACATGTGGTAATGTGGGTATTTTTTATTTCTCTTTTCTTTTCCTTCCCTCACACTATGACTCTATCAGTTAGATCTCTTCTTCCTAACTAATATCCTAGTTCTTCTATAGAAATGCTTCAATCAAGGTTTACGATTTCCAAAGCTACTCTTGCTTCAATTTTATAAAGATTATAACCATTTTATTAACTCATTTTTTCTCCTAAGGCGTACTTTAATTTTAAAAAGTGTGGTGGATTAGTTATTTTCCTTGCTTATAATGGCCGAATTGTCGCCAATTTACTTTAGCATCATTATTTTCTTTTGCATCTTGAGAGTTATGGCTTTGGCCATTTTCCATATCTACAAACGCCTTTTGAATTACACTAAACCTACTTATCAAAGATACATCATCCGCATCATCTTTAAGGTCTCGGTTTATGCATTGATGTTTATCTTGTTCTTAATTTTTCTAGAGAGTTCAATATATTTCAATTCCATACATGAAGTTTATAAAGCTTGGGTCATTTATAACTTTCCGTCCTTGTACTCGGCTTGGGTTAATGGCCTCGAAGTAGTTTTGCTAAGTTTAAGTGGTCAAGTTATGAAGCCATCATAATGTCCGATGACTTGCTACGTTCCTCTTATACCATTGGATGGTCTGTTTTATTCGAAGGTGCAAACAGGGGTGTTTACAGTTTATGATTTTGAAGCTTTTCTTAGTTGTTGTTACACATACTTTATGCAAAAGGGAAATACAAGGATGGGAATTTCAATCCTAAATAATCATATCTATATCTCACCATTATATACATAATATCGTATATTATGGCATTGTATGCTTTGGCATTATTTTATACGACGTGTAAAGATTTGCTTCGACGCAATCTAGTTCCAAAGTTTATCACCATCAAGTCCGTTGTTTTCTTGATATACTAGTAGGGAGTTCTAGTTTTTCTTGCTCGTAAAGTTTAGATTCATCAAAGATGCGAAGAAACACTCGGCTTTAAGATCGGGGCCCATATTATCACGTATCATTATTTGATTGGCTACTTTTAGTTTTAACTTGTTATGTACGATGAATAGTTAACGACGTTAAAATAGAAAGTCTTAATCAATAAATTTTTAAGAGTAGAAGGTTTCGAGTTAGGTTAAAAAATAATAAAGGGTCTCAATCAAAAAAATTAAAACTATACGGGAACTAATTATGAGGTAAACCCATTTAATAACTAACTAAAACCATATAATTCATAAGTTTACATGAACACACCATTAAACACATTCAATCAACAATTAAGTATATGTCATAACCTCACATTGGTCAATCATTTAACAATTTCATAATCCAATCATCAATTGCACACAATGTAATCAAATTCTCAATTAAAAACTCTAGGTTTTACAAGAACACAAACCTTCAATTCAACACATAACTACTCTAAGTCTTGTGTGAGTTGAAGTTACATTTATCTTATATTTGATTGAAGATGAAATCACCTTAAAACCCCTAAATATCATACCTCTCTTTCATACCTAAAGTTTTGGCTAAAATAGCCTCGCTCTTTCTCTTGATTATTTTCTCCTCATTTTGGCTAAGCTTACTTCATTTGGATAATTTCAACTTCCTTTCTTGGTAAATTTCGATTATCTCTTGCTTACTCTTTTGTGATTTGGTCTCTCTTGCTCTCTTTCTCTCTTAGTTTTCAAGCTTTCTCTAAAAGATTGATTGAGGCAAATGAAATGTCAAGTGAAAACTAAGTGAAATTTTCTCCTTTTTATTTCCTTTTCTTAGCCAAAATTATGATCCAAAATACCCTTAATGAGATACATGTCTTAAGGAGATTTTTTTTTTTTTACACTTATATATTTTAATTTAGAAGGAACACTTAGTTAAGATATTATTTCCTAAATTAATATATATTTAAGTCAATAATTAAATTTGAATCTTAAGTTATACATGTATGGAAATTATTTAATTAAATCATATTTTCTAAGTCTTTCACTTATCAATTAATTCACTACTCACACATAACACTTAGCAATATTAATTTCACAAACAAAATACTTATCAATAATAACACTAATATGACCTGAACATACAAAATAAATAATATACATATAAGGCATATAAATAGTTTAGATATTCCATGTGTCATGATAATCTATTCCAAGAAGTCGATAAACCCTTTTGTAACTAGATGAGCTTTATACCTATTAACGAGTGCCATTAGATAGATACTTAGTGTGAAATATCCACTTACAACCAATAAAGTTCTTTGTGGAATTCGGTGGCATAAGTTCCCATGTTCCATTTCAAACAAAGCATCATGTTCATCACACATTGCCTTATGCCATTTAGGATCCTTGAGGCCTATGTTATAGAGGTGGGTGTAAGGTGAGTTGTGAAGGCAAAATAAGTAATAAGGTTTAATTTAGTGATAAATTTGTAAATGTTATTTTTGGATCTAGTGACAATAATATGGAAGGTGAAAGTGTCAAAGGTAGAGGAGGAGGTAAGTAATTTGGATGCAATTGGCTACAATTATGGTGGGATGTGTGTTGTTATTGGATCCCCAAGAGGCATGTTTGTCAATACCTTAGATGATGTATTGGTAATCAGTAGGAAAGACATAAAGGAAAACCAATAAGTGAATGTTTTAGATGAGGCACATTCTAGATAAGACTAAAGGGATATAAATGAAAAAATAGACTCGATAAATTTGACATGACAATATGTGTGTATACGAGAAGAATTGGGTTGAAGATAAAGGTAGGCACTTTGGGTATTAGAGTAATTGAGGAGGACACAGAGAACATACCAAAGAGCTAATTTGTGAGATGAGTATGGTCATAGCCATGGATAGCAAAGAAATACATAACTACGAAACCTAGAGTAGTTTGATGGAGTGCTAAAGTGTTTAATATACAAGAAGAGGAAGGAGATTGTAGGTATGGATAGATAATTGATGAGACGGACGATAGTAGTAAAAGTATAAAACTAGTAGGATAAAGGCATGGAAGCATTTCGAGAGAAGAAAGAGACTTGCTTCGACGATATGATGATGAGGGCGTTTAGAATATCCATTGTGTTCGGTGTGTGAGGAGGAGAGATGAGATGAAAGATGCCATTAGTAGCACGATTGGAAGAAATAGCTTGATACTCCCCTTATTATCAATAAATAGGGTGGTTATTTCTCATTTAAAGAAGTTTTCAACAATGTGATTTTTAAATTTGTTAAAAACATCATGAACATGTGATTTTTTTTTAATGGTAAAGCCGGACATACTTTGTAAATGCTCTACAAAAATGACATAGTATTTAAAACCATCAACATAATGAATGGGAGAGGTCCACACATCATAGAATATAATTTCTAGAGGAAAGGAGGTGACAAGGAAAGAGAGGGAGAAGGTTAATTTTTTATTTTTAGAGCACTAGCATAAGTTACGAGTTGAGATTTAAATTGGAACAACTAGACAATTGGAGTTGAAAATAAAAAACAATATGTCAATAGATTGATAAGTTTCCCAATCTATGATGACATACAATCGATGTTGTTTTGAAATTAGAAAAAACTACTAATAGAGTGGACGAAAAGGAAACGAGAAAAAATAAAAGGGACCAGCCATATATACACACAATCTTTAGTTTAACCCTACATTAGAATTGCCCTCGTGCGAAGATCTTTCACAAGAAACAAAAGTAGGTAAAATTTTAATTGAAGCATTATTTACTTATATAATTTATAGAGAGAAAGAGAGAGAAAAGGTTTTGTTTTCATTGTGGGAACACAAAGCATATCATACAAGCAAGCTTAGCTTAGCGATTGCATACCTAGCTAGCTTCTCCAGTGAAACAAGGTTCAAGTCCTAGTGATTCTAGTTTCTTTGATGATTATGTAATGGGAGGGGCTACTTTTGTTATGTAGCCCAATAGGGCCTTCGATGAATCAACATAAAAACATAAAGCATATCATTGAATAAAAAAGAATGGTAGGAAGGAGAAAAAAATTAGAACCAATATGGCTGATAGGAGCCCTATTCCATCACCAATCACAATGTCATTGAGGCCTTCATAAGGAGTATGAAGAAAGAGTTTTCTCGGGTCGGTGGTATGTGTCTAAAAAAAAAAAAACAAGACATTCAACAATAATGTGTCTTTGTGCATGACACCACCTATAGCGACCTAGGTAGGGTCGAGGCAGAGAGTGACTATTTTGAGCGTTGGTGTTGGTAAGGCCTAAGAGATGAGCATTTATGGATGAAGTGTAGGAGAATAACCATCCCACAAACTCCTAATTAAATCGAGCATGAGTTGGATTTATAGTGGGTCGGAAGTGGAGATGAATCGCTATGAAGGATGTGCAACGAGAGTTCCTTATTGATTAACTTTTCATTTAGTTCATGAAATAAAATTGCAATGTCAAGTCCATTGATTACATCAATGATGAGCTTGCAATCATCATCACGTCCATCTAGGATTGTCTTAATGAGATCATCGAGATCCATGGGTTTGCTTAAGACTCGTAAGCTCATTTGTGCGAGTTTTCATGAACTACATATATTCAAAAATAGTTTTGGTATCTTTGGTGGTGTGCTTCGTTCTTAATCCGCTTGATATGCCCACAAGAACGTCGAACATAGATATTAGCAAGAACTATCAAGCGCACCTTTGAAGGTTTAAGATCGAGAAATCAAAGATATGAGAGTTGACATAAAAGAGCCAACATGTGCTTCGAAGATTAGTTTATCTTAATGTAGCCATATTTCATATGCGAGATCGGTAGTGTGACATAATTGACGAGTGATTATGTTTAGAGGTAGGGAGTGAGAGCCATTAATGAATTTGTAAAGATCATAACCGAGTTAAAAGTTCTTCTATTTAAAATTTCTAGGAAATATAGTTTATAGATGTGAGTTTGATAGAGTTGTTGATGTTGATGATCTGGCTGTAAGAGGTTTGGTGGGTTATTATGTTAATGACAAATTGAAAAGAAGAGGGAAGAATGAAGGGAAGGAGAAAAAAGAAAGGAAAATAAGTTTTCATAGTTCTAAGATTGATGGTTCCGATCCCATGTGGAGATTTGGACGAAAGAAGGATTTTATCGTTGTATCACATATTACAACAAAGATATATGGTCTTATATGATATAGTCGAAGATCCGGTTTAGGAAGGGACATCATAATTCTAGGATGTTAAGTTATCGTACATAGCAGAAATCACGGATATGGGGCTATCACATTGATTTAGGAATTGCCTTTACTAGTTAGACGTAAGTATTCTTTTATTTCATAAATTTGATTTAATTTTAAATTAACTAAATTTATAAAAATTAAAAATTAATTTGAACAAAAAATATTGTTTGGTATTCAATTTTTCTATATAAAAAAAAATAATGTTATAATTATTAGTTCTTTAATATCATTTTTATCATGAATTACATCTTTTATATATTCATCATTTTATTTTAAAAAAGAAAAAGAAATTCCAACCAATTACAAAATACAATCAAACATTCACGTCTAGTAATATACTCATAAATCATTAATGGAATTTAATTAGTAATAAAAAAATAAATGAAAAAATAAATTAAAGGTTGATCAACTAATAAAGTAGTTTTATGATTCCTTAATGTTTGATTATATATCTATATATGCTATTCTGTTTTTTATCAAAATCAAATAAAAAAATTTAAAAATCAAATTGAAATTTTCAATTCAGTTCGATTTTTCAATTTAAATTAAACAGAGCTCACCGTTAAACTTGGTGACGAGCCATCCAACTCTTTATCAATGGCAACTCAATTTGAGAGATCCTTATACATTGATTCTATTGGATTTATATAGATAATTTCACATATTCTAATAAATTTCATGTGATAAAAAAATGTTGATTGTTGTTGTATTTAGATTAGAATTGGACCATCCAGGATGGAAAAGCTCAAATCCAAAAACCCAACCAAGGTAGAAGCAGTTAATTATGGAAACAAACAATTCTACAATTCTCTGAATATCTCTCATTCTCTTTGCGGACTTCTCATACACATATATGACTCAAGATTTGGGGATTATATGTGCTTTTTTCTATGGTTGTATAAGAATCCTTACGCACACACGTAAAATAATAAGATGCTGGAATTTAATTCTACATTTTGGAGTTGAAGTAATTTTGTTCAATTGCTTCAAAAATAGATAGGAGAAGAAGGAATAATTCATGCATTCGGATTTCCGAAGGAGAAAAAAATAATTCCATAATTATAGGTAATATATTTATGGGCTGTATTTGTCGCTGTTACGAGGGCATTCGAATGAGTATTGACATTAAAGAATACAATGCGCACAAGCCCACCCCCCCTCCCTCCTTTCCTTCCTGCCATAATAAGAGTGTTTTATTTTTTATTTTTTTATATCTCAGATATCACAGGCTCAAAAGCCTAAAATAATTTTTTGTTATTACGTCGTACGTACAAGATATATATAATTACCCATGAAGTTTTTTACATATACAAGAATTCAAATCCGAAATCATTTGTTTAACCGATTAGAATTCTTTCTCGCTCAAACCAACCCATTTAAATAAATTAATGTAAAAGATTTTTTAAAAAGATTTTAAAATTACATCTCCATGTAAATCTAATATAATTTAAAAAAAAATTAATATATATTTTCTAGATTTTCACATCAAAATTTGAATTTAAAAAAAAAAATAATCACCAGAACCATCCCTCCCAATCCATAGATACAAATGAAAGGTGTGCACTTTTAAATTACTTCGTAACTTTTTTGTTACATGGTCAATTTTATTTTTTTTATTCTAAATCGTTGAGTAACTAAATTGCATAGCACAAGCCAACTCATTTTGATTAAAAAAAAAAAAAAAAAAAAACAAGAGATAAATTACTCGTCTCTTAATCAGCCCCACTCAAATAATCTGAAATGTATTGCAATTGCAAAAAATAACCATGAAATAGTGTTTTATATATATATATATATATATATATATATAGTCCGAGATGAAAAACATTTTAAAAAAAATTGAAAAGAATTCGAAAGAAATAGACCTTGCCAGGCCCATAGAACTGTAACTTGAAATTTGGGTTGGCACTGGGAGGGCTAACAATTGGAAGTTCCTATCCAAACTATATATGTGCGTTACAGATTGTTCTGTGTCAATGTCCACTCTACAGAATGGCGCACTTTTTTTTTTTTTTTTCTTTTTTTGTAGAAACGATGGCCATTTCAAAAAACATGATGGAATCTTTATACTTTTGATTTAGAGACAAAATCAGTCTTTCTATCCAGCTATGATAATCTTTTAGTTTTAAATTTGAATCCGGAATTCTCTGATTTTAAGTTTAACATTATTTAAAAAAGAAAAAAAAAAAAAAGCAAAATTGTAGAGAAAGGCACCCATCCGAGTTTCTTAAAACTCCTCCGAAGCTATTATGTAGTAAGAATAAGAAATCATTATTAGGAAATATAAAGGGTCCTACAAAAAATGACACAAATTTAAACTTCAAAGCTACTTTGGCTGGCTTTGCTCCTTAATTTCAGGAGACACCGTGGACCATCAACTCCTAAGTCTCTCTACCAATGTCAAAGTTTGTATTGCACAGTTAATCAATAATATGTTTTTTTTTATGAGTCTGCAAACGGTCGTAAGAAAACCGTTAAATCCATAGGTTGTACTTTTGTCTCATGCATTGGCTCTGCCGCCGTCTAATAAATATACCTGTCAAAAGCCGTTATTCTTAATGAAAATCCAAATCCTGTACACATAATTTAAGGAATTTATATTGCGGATTTTCAAAGCATCGATGCCCACAAGTCTTATGGCTTTTTGGACAGTTGAATTCAAACTTCTATTTATGGTTTAAATCGCCACTTGGGTTACAGTCGGTTATTTGGATTTAGTTATCGTGCTCACCATCATATAACGTGTAAAATATTTTAAATTTTAATGTTTACAACTATGCATTAATTATTTAATTTAATATCTACACAAATATGTACTTATTTGCATAAATTAAAATATACAAAACTATTAATTGTGTACAAATAACATAGATTAAGAATTTTTTTTATTTAAAAAAAAAAAGTAAAGTGGGGTTAGGTGTCTCTATTATCTAGGAAGAAAAAGGACAGCTTGTAAGTTATAAAGCTGCAAGAGCTTGGTGCCGATTTTGGCAGTGTACGAGCTAATAGGGGAATCCTGATTACTATTAGGAAAGAAATTGGACTAATCTTTGCCGTCTGTTCAAAGTCTCATCCCTTTCTCCTGTACTTTTTATTGTCTTTGCTTCAGCTTTCCCTCTCCAACAATTCTTTAAATCCTACTGCTCATAACTCAAACAACGTACTTCTCTCATTTGCTAGCTTGTCATCTCTATATCTGGCTTGATGGAGAAAGCACTTGAGAGGAAAGAAACAAGATGGATTTCTCATCTTCATTGCAGCTATCGCACGTGCACGCATCCAGTTTTAGATATTTTCAGCATGGAATTGAAGGGTGAGTCCTCAATCTAATTAAGTTTAGATACTCTATATTATGCATCAAATCATTTGCTTGAAATCTTGTTCATAAAAATTTAGCTTATTTTGATCATTGATGTGTCTGGTGGGGTTAAAGGGATTCTTAGAAAAACTTTGAGATTCTCATTTTCATCTTTTTTTGCCTAGAAACCTGTTCCTTTAACATCTTATTGACTTGGCAAGTGATCGTGTTGTTTAATTCTAAGCTGGATTTTCAAAGGATGGTTCAGCTTGAGGCTTTTGAGCCCAAATGCAATCTTCTAGAGACTTCAAAAATGAAAGCTTAAGCTAGATAACATGCTCTTTATTTAGAAATGGCGTTAAAAATCTGTGTTTTTCTAATCTCATGATACCAAACGAGTTCTTTGCAACTCTCATGTTGTATCTATTTTAAGTTGACATCAATCTTTGATTTTGCAACCCTTTGAATACTGGGCATTTTGTAGGTTGAAGACGGCATGAAATACAGAAAGAGAAAAAAATCGAGGAGCAATATTCAGGGATTGATCTGCCTGGCTCCCTGGATGCCAAATAAGAAATTTGTCAAGTAGTCTTGTCTCTTCTTAGTTGGCATCAGAGGAGTCACGCAGGTCCAACTATCAAATGTATACCTATGGTCAAGAGAGATCGAAGGTGAGTAAAGTTTTTTTTTTTTTTTTTTTGCATATATATATATATAAGCATGAATTAACTTAAAATTGCTGCCTTAAGTTATTTGGAGTAAATTATAAATTAATCCCTTTAGTTTTGAGAAATGAATTAATCAATCTCTCTTATTTTAAAAATTAATAATTTAATCCTTATATTTTTAAATCTACTTGTAACTTAGTCTTTTTTTTTTTAATTTTTGGTTTTAAAAAATAGAAAAAATATAAAACTATTAACGAGAAAAAAAGACATTTTATGGAATAAATATAATATTAAATTAAACATGATCAATACTAATCAAATGACTAAATAACAATTCTTAAAACAAATGAGACTAATTAATTCATTTCTTAAAACTAGAGAGACTAATTTATAATTTACTCAAGTTATTTGAAGACATTACACAAGATTATTGAGTAAATTATAAATAAGTCCCTCTAGTTCAAAAAAAAAATCTTTTTTTTTAAATAATTATTTTGTTTTATATTTTTAATTTTTTTGTAATTTAATATTTTTCTTCTTTTTTTCAATTTATTTTGATTTTTTTAAGAAATATAAAAAATAAGTAAAAAATATGAAAAGATTGATAAGAAAAATAATGATATTTTGTTGAAATAAAATAATATTAAATTAAGTATTTTCAACAGTAATTAAGAAAACTAAATAATTAGTTTTTAAAATAAAAGTGACTAATTGACTTATTTTTTAAAATTAAAAGGAATAATTAGAGTTTACTCCAAGATTAATGCTAGTAATAATCCGATGGTTATGTGTACTATGTACATGTGGTTGTAAACAAGACTATTCCAAGAATAAATAAATAAATAAATATACAGAAGATAGAATGTGAAATTGAAAGTCGGGAAATGAAAATTGATGATAAAACATAATTAAAGGTTTAAGATTTTAGGTTTAGATGATTTTTAGATATGATATGATAACCTTGATGACTAAACGATCACGAGTTCAAATCTAACCACTTCTATTTTCTCTTCTAATTAAGTACAAAGTAGTATAAATCTATGCAATTTTTAAGTTCAAATGGCTTTCGCTTGAAATGGTGTGTTAGATAATAATATAAACTATATCGGAAAGTCTTATTTAACGGTTTAACTTTTTGAGTTGAGATGATTATTTGATATAGTATTAAAACTTTGATTATCAAACGATCACAAGTTCGATGTTAGAAAGTAATATAAAATAATTTCTAAGACTTTATTTAATAGCTTAATCTTTTGGATTGAGATGATTTATTAACATGATATCAAAATAAGGATAAATGAATTCAAATCTCACCACTCTCACTTTTCCTTCTAATTAAGCACAAAGTAATAGTAACTTTGTGGAAGTTTTAAGGTCAAAAGTCCAAAGATCTCTCTTAAGGAGGTGTGTTAGAAATTAATATAAAATAATTTTTAAATCTTTACTTAATAGTTTAAGTTTCGAGTTGAAATGATTATTTAACAATTTTTCAAGAGGAGACTTAATAATTTTTTTATTATTATTACATCAAGAAGTAGCGTTTTTATCTATAAATCTTATTTCCAAAATTTGAACCCAGTAACGCCAAATTTTTCAAATTTTAATTGCTGAGCTCTCTCTTTAAAAATAAATGTAACTAAACTTAATATAGTGTGAACCAGATTTAAATTAAAATACAAAGAATTTCTAGAATAATTTCTGTAAACTTTTTTGAGGTTTCGCCTTCAAAAATTAGACCACTGGCGTACTATACCTTTTCATTTATTTATTTATACGTAAATGCATAGATAAATCTCCATAAAATATTTAAAAATCTTAAAAGTCCATAAAAAAATATTATAAGGCAAATATCCTTCCCATTCCCAGTGCAGTATCCTGTGGTCTCACGACTCGTGAGCTATCACAGCTGGGCTCCTGGACTGATCGATTCTATTTCTATAGACTACATTGGTTCAGCTACTTAGCCCACTAATCTCAGTCATGTCCGACCCGAGCCACCTTTACCTTCGTTGGGCTACATTGCTTAAGAAGACCCATGCTTAGTTTTAATCCATTGGGCTTGCAAAATAATAGTAATTTCTTTTTCTTTTCTTTTTTCTTCTTTAAAAGGGGACCTCTAGAAGGTTAAAATTTTACCTCCTTGATGTTGTAGGGAAGTTCAACTTTAATCCTCTAGCTTCTTGAACTTATATATTATTTTTTGTGGAAAATATTTTAATTAAAAAGAAAAAGGAAAGATAAACTTACAGAACAAGAGGGCTGTACTGAAAAACCTTTTAACTTTATATAATTTAACATGAGAATTAAAGTATAATTTGGCTAAAAAAAATACAATAATATATGCGCAAGATTAGATGTACAAAACTCTCCTTCTTTTAGTTCAAAAGTTTAGATTGAAGGCTTTAACTCTAAAGATCAATAAATATAGTGATGAATTGAGAATTGTCATATACCATTGAAATAAATATATCCTTTATTACCTATTTAGTCCTTCAATTCAGTGACCACTCAAAGGTCCAAAAAAAATTTTTTTTAAATAATATTACAAAAACCTCTTTTGTTATTCAAAATATCCTTAACATTTTTAAATAATTTCCCTTGACATTAAAGGTGTTTTGGCATAAAAGGAGGTTTTTGCAATATATTCAAACTTTTAAGTAATTACAATACTTCAAGAGGGTTGTTGTAATTTACTTTTGATATAATTCGTACCTTGTCGTTATATTCTCTTTCGTTTAACTGGTCAAATCAGATTAAATGTGAGAGACTTTACTTGCATTTGATTAAGGTGTACTTTTGACATATTAAGACTAGATTGTAAAATTATTATAAAATAGGGACTCAAATAGATTTAAAAAGCCGAAATTAAAAGTCGTGGAAACTATATTGTTTTCACAAGGGTTTCGGATTTTATTTTTAAACCAGTCATGTACGGCCCGATACTGCATTCTTATAGTTTGATTTAAAAAAAAAAAAAAAAAAACCACTAACTGAGTTTTATACATTTTTATGGCATTAATTCAGATTGCACCCTTTTTTGTGGAAACTATATTGTTTTCACAAGGGTTTCGGATTATTTTTAAACTACTCATGTACGGCTCCGATACTGCATTCTTATAGTTTGCTTTTAAAAAAAAAAAAAAAAAACACTAACTGCAGTCTTATACATTTTAATCGCATTAATTCGGATTGCACCCTTTTTACATCTTGGGTGTTTCTTTTTCAATTTGGAATTTTAAGAGAACTCAATTTTTTTTATTTTTAATAACATTCAAGAATTTTTTTTAAAAAAAACTTACTCATAATATTTTTTACACATAAAATATAAATTTGAGTTTTTTATTATCTGGATTTTAAAATAAAAATAACATAGTTTTAAATATAAGTTAAAAGTTTTGTAAGATTATCTAGAGAACTACAAACAATTATTTAAAAAATATATGTAAAAAAAAAAGAAATATTAAAAAGGAAAAATAAAAAGTGTACTACTTATAAACAAAAAGCCAATACACAATCTTATACACGAATAGGTTTTACTGCAAAAATTGCCCTCGATCCATTGTAATTTGGTAATGTCAGATATTTATTATCAATTTGCATAATTAAAACCTCAAAATATTACTTTATAGGTAAATCTTATCCAAATTCACTAATTGTAATGATCAAACTAGTTGATCATTATTTTTTCCTACTATTATTTTTTTCACTATTAATTTTTTTAAATTAAAAATTCTTTTCTTCCATTTTTCAAGAGAGTTTTTTTTCCATCTGTTTACTTATAAATAAATAAAAAATTCATTAAATTTATCACTAAACTTTTTTTGGTTCTCTTCGAAAAAGAGCTTTCACTTTTGGAACCTATCTTTAAAAAACTAAAACTAAAATAAAATTAGACAAAGTTTTTTAAAACATAGTTTTCTAACTCTAACAATTTTAAACGCATATTATATATTTGAATCAATTGTAAGAAAAAAATCCTACAAAACATGTGAAGATAAAAAAAATATTAAATAAATATAATTATATTTAAAATTTAATGATTGACAATCACAAAAATAAATTTATTGGCATGACAAAAGAAAAGTTTCAGTTAAAATAAATTATTTGATAATTTCAATTGATCAAATTAAACCAATACATTTTTGTATTTTATTAATTACAGAAATGAATTTTTTTAATGGATAATGATACTATATAAAAATTATTTTTTAAAATTAAAAAAAAATTATATACAAATAATTATTTGATTGACTATGAAAAATCAAAGGATTGATACGTCAAAATTTTAAACAGAAATAATCTCTCTTGAAAAATGAAAGAAAAGAATTTTTAATATTTTTTTAATTAACAACGAAAAAAATAGCCCAAAAAAAATTAACGGTCAATTGGGTTGACCGTTATAATTAACATATTTGGATAAAATTTGTCCAAAAATCAATATTTTGGGATTCAATTTATGTAAATTGATAATAAATATTTGAAATTGCTAAATTACAATAAAATGAAGATAATTTTTACCATTAAACCTATAATAATATTGATGAAAAAAATAAAAAATAAAAGTCCAAATTCGAAGGAAGCTGTAAACTTTTAAATATGTATGCATACTTTTTTTCCCCCTTATTATGAAAGAGCGCCGTTGTTTTCTGCTAACAAATATAAATTGAAAACGAAAAAAGTGCTGAGTTAATAAAAAGCATAAAAGGTTATCAAAGCAAATTAAAAAGCCAACTTAATCGATTATGGAGCTGTACAGCTCGAAGAGCGTTTTTGAGAGGCAATTATAAAATAGTCTTTTCAGCGTTGAGTCTTTCTAATAATTTAGTCTTTATGTTTTTAATTTCTAATCCTTCTCATTCTGTTTTATTTTATTTTTGATTTTTTTGTAATAAAATAACATTAAATTAAATGTGATCAATAGTAGTTAAAGAAGTAAATAATTTATTTTTGAAACAAAAAAACTAATTAATTTATTTCTCAAAACTAGAACTAATTTATAATTTACTAGTAGACAAGTATATCCTCCAATCCTATTAGTTTCAAAAATTACTAATTTGTTATCCGCGCTACGCTACGGTAAGACAATCGTTATATATATAAGGTTAACAATTCATATGGTGTAATGCGAGTAGAAAGTTTTATTTTTAGTGATTAATATAAATTGAATCTATATATAGTTAATTCCAACAAAACTATATATATATAAGATTTAGAGTATATAAAATAAATAAAAAATATAAAAAAACACCACCTAAATTGTAGAAATATATTGAAGTCAATAGATTAAAATAAAAACTACAACAAAATTGGTTCCGATAAATTCTGAATAAATACATATAAAAAACAAAATAAAACTTTTGAATTTTTTGAACATATTATTATTTAAAAAAAAATTGAGTCGGACTATTCAAAACATACTTTTAGCTCTCTCTCTCTCTCTCTCTCTCTCTCTCTCTCTCTCTCTCTCTCATATATATATATATATATATATATATATATGTATGTATGTGTGTGTGTGTGTGTGTGTGTGTGTGTGTGTGTGTTAATATCAATGTCAAAGATATAATTAATATTAGTTCGGAGAAATTAAATGGATCAATAAAATATATGTTTTCTTTCTCGGTGAAGGGACCAATTATATATGACCACTTAACTTGTATAAGATTTGCTTGGAGATCCAATTATGTTATGAATTTATATTCTTTTAAAGGTTTCCTTTTGCCTCTAGCCAACTTTTTTTTTTTTTTTTTTGTTATATCATGAGATTGGTACCCAAACTTTTAAAAATATAAATAAATTATAGGAAAAAAAAAAAAAAGAGTAGGGTCATGTTTGGTCGGTGCGTGTGTGTGTGTGTGTGTGTGTATACATTAAATAAAACTCGTGAATTTTTTAACTAATTATTAATTTTTTAAAAAAGAATCAAGTCAATTTATTTTTTAAAAAATGAAGTCAAATGATTTAAAACACACTTTTAACTTTTTCTCTCTCATTAGAATTTATATAAGCAACATCGGCATTTTCATATAAAAATCATAAAAATAATCAATCGCATAAATTATAATAATATATCTTAAAAAATAAAAAAAAATCATGTTCCAAAATTTTATTTCAAAAATATTATATTAAAAAAAAATTTATTAACAAATTAAAAAAGAATGGACAAACTAAATCTCAACGACTCAACTCGTTAAAAAGAAGGGGAAAAAAAAAGAAAAAAAAGGGATGCTAACCGGGGAAAAAAATAGCTATAGTAATGGGATCGCTAAGGATGCAATAGCAATGAGACCGTGAAGGACCAGTTCAGCAACCCGGGCCTTTAAGAAAAAAAAAAGAGGCAAGGTGGGAAAGGGGGAGGGGGATGTAGCGAGAACGGTCTCACCCCTAGCTCTTCTAGTTTTTTTCTTTTTCTTTTTTCTTTTTTAATAATTCATGCACTATGTTGTGGTCGGACAACTATTAGATACACGAGTTGATGATTTGTATGGTATGATACGAGTAGATATTTTGTTTCGAAGATTGATGTAAATCGAATCTATATATTAAACGAACTTATTTGATTTATATATATTCATTAACAAAATAATTTATGATATTAGTATAAAAAATTTATATTTGAATAATTAAGAAGTCGTTTCAAAACATTAATTAAATTATTTTATTTAAAAAATATAGATTTTAGAATATGAAAAAAAATAATTGATGTTATATGTGCGGATATAATTAATTTTTAACAAAACTATATATATCGTACTTGACGATTTAGAGTATATAAAATAAATAAATAAATATAAAAAAAAACCCCACCTAAATCGCATGGAATATATCGTAGTAAATAGATTTAAACAAAAATTATTATAAAATTGGTTTCGATAAATTCTATATATATATATATATATATATAATCAAATAAAACTTGTGAATTTTTTAACTAATTATTATTTTTTAAAAAAATAGAGCAGAATTATTTTTTTTAACTAATTATCAGTTTTTTAAAAAATCAAGTCAAATTGTCAAAAATACATTTTTAGCTCTCTTTCCCACTCATAAGAATTTATGTATGACAAAACTATATATATATATATATATTACTTAGCAGACTCGAGTATATAAAATAAATAAAAATATATATTAAAAACCCACTTAAGTTGCATGGAATATATCAAAGTGAATAGATTTAAATATAAACTATTAGAAAATCAATTTCAATAAATTATGATATATATATATATATATATATATATATATATATATATATATATATATATGTACTTAGTAGACTCGGAATATATAAAATAAACAAAAACAATTATAAAAAAACTCACTTAAATTGCATGGAATATATCGAAGTGAATATATTTAAATAAAAACTACTATAAAAATTGTTTTCAATAAATTCTAATTATATACATAAAATTAAATAAAACCTATGAATTTTTTAACTAATTATTAATTTTTCCCTTTAATAAAAAGGAAAAAAAAAAAAGAGGTCAGCCGTTAGGAACTAACTAATGATTTTGTTAAAAAAAATAATGACTAAATAATAATTTTCTCTATTATAAACAGATATTTTGTGTTGTTTAAGAATAACTAATATACGTGCAAATCCTATTTGATTGTTGTTATTATTATGTTTTTTTCATGATTAATGTTCTTGATATGTGATTATCAAATTATTTAAAATTTATTTATTTATTTAAGATTTTTTCGAAATAAAATTGATAATTAATTATTAATCGAATGGATAGCCTACTATTGTGCTGGTTAACCATGCTGATGGCCGCAAGGAGAGGATAATGGTCAATCATGAAGGGAAAAAAACCTCTAATATTTAGTGGAATTTTCATGGAATGACCCGAACGATTGTGCAATATTGCTAGACGAAGTGGGGCATAACCCAAACATAAGGAAATTAAAAGACAGTTGCACCAGAAAAAGGCTTCAAAAAAAGGAAAAAAAGAAAAAAGGAGGCCAACCCAGAAATGACAGCCCAGCTCTTAAAAAAAAAAAAAAAAGGCAAAGGGACTAATTAATCTATCTCTCAAAGAAAGAAGGACCAAGAAGTGAAAAAAAAAAAACATGAATAGGGGAGATGAGTCTTAAGCTACAGGGAAGAAACAGTACCACATGCACTTCTTTTTTTTTTTTTTTATCTTGAATTTCAATAGATCTTCCTAAATACTCTACCGATACAACTATGTAACTTTTCAACTCTTTTATCCTCCTCACTCTCATACCCCAAATTTTGGGTTATATATTTTCACTAATTTTATCCCTTTTTACTTTTTTTTCTTTTTTTTAATCCTCATTTATTTATTATTTTAGTTATTCCTTATTTTTATTTCATTTTTCATTTTATCTATTTTGATTTTTATTTATTTTATTTTAGTACTTACAACATAGAGAGAGAGAATAAATAAAAAAAATGTAAAGATAGATAAAAATATAAAAATACAAAATTAAGAAATGTGTTTAATTAGAAACGTAATTACATTAAATTGCAGCTTAAAATTGGAGGCTAATAAGTCTAAATTAAACAAAAGTCGAATGAATTAAGGACATAATTGAAAGGAATTGGATGACACGATTGAAAGAAAATTTAGGATTGATTCTTAAATAATTTAAAAGAATGATGATAAATTTATCATAAATTTATTATTCTTACTATTTATTTTTTGAAAATTATTAATATACTCTTCTCATTGATGTTTGTTACTATATCACAGTTAAATATATTTTATATCAAATATTTAAAATACTTAAAAGTAAATGTGTATGAAAGCAAAAATAAAGACACTAAAACAAAAATATCAATTGATACATAAAATACATTTAATTATGATGTAGTAATAAATATTGATTGAAAAGCGTGTTGGTAATTTAAAAAAATAGTGGAAATAATAAATTAAATGGTAGATTTAGCAGTACTCAATTTAAAATTAAGAGAGTTTGAAACCTTCGGCCAAAAAAAATAAGTAATAATGGAGCACAGTGGGATAACGGTCTATTTGAAAAAAATCCGTAAGCTGATGATTCATGGTGATGGAAATTTATTGCTGGAAAATTAAGGATTTGAAATTCAACACATCATTCCCAATAATCTAATTCAATAGAATAAAAAATAACATAAATAAATACAGATGAATAAAAAATAAATATACAAGAGTTTAATGTGGTTTAGCAAAATTTTATCTATTGTACAAATTAAAAAATAATCACTAATAAAACTAAAAGAATTTGAGTATATACTATATAATTCGCTATTCTTTTCATTGTTTACTCCCATTCATTTGCACTGTTCACTTACACTTATTTACTTGGTACATTTTACGGTATACAATCAGGTTTGCCAAAAGTTTTGCACTTTGATCCTTTAGTTTTTCAAAAAATTTTGTTTCAATTTTAAACTTTATTTATGTTGCATTTTGGTCCCTAGTGTTTAGAGGAAAGATAAAGAGAGGAGGGAGGGAGGGAGGGAGGGAGGCAGTGAGTCTCATTTCAACCACTTCAATCATTGAACTCACAACCATTTTGTTAATTTTGAAGAGTAGAATCTATTCATGATGGTCATATGTCATCAAATGATTGGAAGAGGTAAATCAAAAGTTTGAAATATTTCAAAATTTTGTTATTTTGATTTGAATTTTTATGTAATTTATGTATATTAAAATAAATTTTGAGACTCTAAACGAGTTTTTTTTATATTATTTTTATAATTTTGAAGTGGTTTTTTGATAAAAATAAAACTAGATTTGGATTTAAAAGATCATAAATTAAGATGTGGTTTTTTTAGTGATGTTTCTAGCAAACCACAATTCACTGAAACTTTTAGCATCTAATTTTTTTTTGGCAGTTTTGACTTGCGGGGCTTGGAACTAGGCCTAAGCGCCTGCATAAGCCTCCTCTAAGACCAATTTTTTTTAATGGATTTTTGGCAAACAAAAATTAGAAGATCTAACTTTTTTTCTCATGCAGTACGGCGATGATGATGATGGCATATATATATATATATATATATATATATATATATATATATATATATATATGAATGGTTGTTTTTTATGAGTTTGGACAATCACCAATCATGAGGGACTGTCAAAGTCAAAGGATGCTGACGTTGGTTTCTGTTTTGGTTGAGTTTGCTGAGGTTGTATTTGTGTGGGAGGTAACTTATTTTTCTTATTTTTTAATATTTGTTTCGTTTTTAGAAAAAAATCAATAAAAAAGAATTTTTAGTCAACGAAAAATGATAGAGTATTTTTGAAAAAAAATTCGAGTTAAAAAAGAGAAAAATATTTTTCTTCTTAGGAACCGTCTTGCTCTAGCGTTACTTACCGTTCTCTTGATATATTTTAACAATTTTTTTCTCTCGTATTCTTTTTGTTTAAAATATATAAAATTAATTTTTAATTATTCCTTATCAATTATTATTAATTATTTAATTATTCTTTCTCTATTTTTATTAACATTTGATTTTTTTATTTATAAATACATTAAATATTTTTAATAACCATTTTTACACCTTAAAATTATTTTTATAAGAAATATTTCAATAATTTACCTCTATTTTTTTTATTATTATCTCAAACACTACCTAAACTATACTTTAAATGATTGAAAATAATTATTACAACAAAGCAATCATTTGTAAAAAAATTGAAATTAATAAATATATTATTTTTTCAACATTATTCATTTGCAACTAAATCAATAATTTATGATTTTAATCGAGTTGTAAAATTTTGTTGGTAATTGTAGTGAATAATTAGTAACAAATTATTCCAACATTAATCTTTGAAACCAAATGAATAATTATCTACAAATGATAACTAATAATTTGTAAGACTATCATTTTGACTAAATTATAAGTTCAATTTAATAAATAAATAAATAAATAAAAGAATTCTTAATTGAGTTACCAAAAAAAAAAACAACAATAGGATTACTTAGAATTTTTTTTACTAAATGTGAATATTGACTTCATTTTATCCTACGTAATTTTGATGAATTATTTTGATAGTTTTAAAAGTATATTTTATTTTTTGAATTTAAATTTTAGAGTCATTATCTATGAAAATTTATTAGATTTTTCTAAATATATCTTACATTGTGAAATTCGAATATGTCTTTTTGAAGTTTTCTTAGAACTCATTAATGTAACAATCGCATATTGTTTTTGTATTTTAATTTTCTATATCAAATAAACGTTAAACTATATTTTTCAGCGGCTTTTTCATGCAATTGCCAAACGGTAGAAAATATTTTTTTGAAAAACAATTTCCTAAAAAATAGCTTTTTCAAGAATTGATTTTCTTATGGAAGTTGTTTTTCGCCAAACAAACAAAACCTTAATTGCCCTTGAAGTATATGTTTGATTGTGTATTTTCATTATTCAACACGAGAGGAGGTGGTAGTGAACACGATCTAATGGAATGGCGCAAATATGGGGCAGAACTACTTGCCTCCCTTTGTTTTTTTTTTCCAATAACCGGTAGAATATACGAGGAAAAAAAATATTTTTGTTCCTGTGTAGGCAAAAGTTTGGTATCATTTTTGTACATTTTAAAATCACACATTCATTTTTTTGCTTATTTAGAATAATCAATGTTCTTGATGAATAATAAATCTTTTGTTATTACTTCACTCTATTTATTTAATAAATATTTCAAAATATATAATCCATTAAGCCCAACATTCTATATAACTAAAAGATCCGATGTTTTTGTTACTATTTATTTATTGTAGCTCTAGACTCATTTACATCGTAGATGGTTTTTTTTTTTTGTGATTTTTTGAACTTTGGTGGATGATGATATGAAAATTATACAACTTTTTATGATTTGGTCCCCGATATTTTTGAACGAATATTTCGATCCACATCTTCATTTACTAATACATTTTGGTCCTTGGGTATAAAGAGAAGAGAGGGAAGAAGAGAGAGACGAGGGAGAGAGAGATTGCGGCTAAGCTTAATTAGGCCCTTCCGGCCGAAAAAAATCCATTAGATTTTTTTTATCTCTAAGAGATGAGTTTGTCTATAGTGGTTTCAAGACATTAAGTAATGAGAGAAGGTAGATCGAGCAAAAAAAAAAAAAAAGAAAGAAAAAAAGTTCGATTTGATTATGTATTTTTTTTTGTTTTAATGTATAGTAAAATAATTTTTAAGGTTTTTAAATGTATTTATTAACTTTATTCTGATTATTTAGAGGTGTTTGAGAAACAAATTAATGTCGAAATTCAATTTTTAGGGACTTAAAACTTGATCCTCGATTTTTCGACGAAGCTTCCAACGACCTTAAGTTCGTCGGAAGTTACAAATTTTTCTTCTTTTGTTTTTTTTTTGGCCAACAGCTCGAGCTCGAAGAAGCATGCCCAAGTCGCCCTACCTTACAATCCCGGTTAGGCCAAGCCGGCCTTACTCGGATGGCAATTTCCACATATCCAGGTCTTTCTAGGAAATGGCTTAATGTTATATACATGGAAAATGCAAGCACATATTGCTTGATGAGAGTCAATTTCACCCAAAAATATCCAAATAAATATTGGAATCCTTTAAAAAAAAACCCACTTATATTCTCAAAATAGCCCAACACTCTCCATCTCACAAAGCGAATAACATCCTAAAACGAAAATCATGATCGTTGGTGTAGTGCATGAGCCATGATGAGAAAATGGTGTTTTTATTTTGATGGAGATGATCGAGAGATGATGATACGATGATGGTGAGAGACAACATGTCGGGAGATGATTGTGGGTGTCCCCACACGTGAGGGATAGAGCTTATTCAACTATTTTATAGTTTTTTTTTTCAATAATCTCTAACGGACGAGTTTGAATTATTTAAGACTATACTAATTGGATACCCGCACTACACTACGAGCGGACAACCGTTATATACATAAGGTTAACGATTCGTATTGTGTAATGCAAGTAGAAAGTTTTATTTTTGGTGATGAATATAAATCGAATATATATTATATATATATATATATATATATATATATATATATATATATATATATATTATATAACCACCTAAATTGTAGAAATATATTGAAATCAATAGATTAAAATAAAAACTACAACAAAATTGGTTCTAATAAATTCTGAATAAATACATATAAAAAAGAAAATTAAACTTGTGAATTTTTTGAACAAATTATTATTTAAAAAAAAATTGAATCAAACTATACTTTTAGCTCTCTCTCTCTCTCTCTCTCTCTCTCTCTCTCTATATATATATATATATATATATATATAAAGCAAAACACTCATTTAAGAATATAAAAATAATTTATTGTATGAATTATAATAATATATTTTTTAAAAATAAAACATTGATGTTCTAATAAGAAAAAAATAATTGAAGAAATAAATTTTAAACAATAAGAATAAAATAATCGGATATGTATGTTAATATCAATGTCAAAGATATAATTAGTATTACTTCGGAGACGTTAAATAGACCAATAATATATATGTTTTCTTTCTTGGTGAAGGGATCAATTATATATGATCACTTAACTTATACGAGCATTTGCTAGAGATCCGGTTATGCTATGACAATATATATATTTAAGGGCTTGCTTTTTGCCTCTCGATGATCCAATCCTAAAACACATCAAGATTTAAAATAATTAGCTATTTTTTTTAACTATAAAATAAATTATAGGAAAATAAAAAAAGAGCGAGGGTAGTGTCCGGTTGGTGTGTGTGTGTGTAACCAAATAAAATTGTGATTTTTTTTTAACTAATTATTAATTTTTTGAAAAAAAAACCAAGTCAAATTATTTTTTTAAGCGATTATTATTAAAAAAAAAAAGTCAAATTATTTAAAACACACTTTTAGCTTTTTCTCTCTCATTAGAATTTATATAAGCAACAACAACATTTTCATATAAAAATCATAAAAATAACCAATCGTATAAATTATAATAATATATCTTAAAAAATAAAACAATCATGTTTCAAAATTTTATTTCAAAAGTCTCATATATATATATATATATATATATATATAAGATTATTAACAAATTACAAAAGAAAGGACGAACTAAATCTTAACGATTCAACCCATTAAAAAGAAGGAAAAAAGAAAACGAAAAAAAGGGATGTTAGGCTGGGGGAAAAAATAGCTACGGTAATGGGACCGCTAAGGATGTCGCGACGAATGGGACTATGAAGGACCGGTTTAGCGACTCGAGGCTTTTAAGAAAAAGAAAAGAAAAAAAGAGGCAAGGCGGGAAAGAAAGGGGAAGTGGGTATAGCATGAGCGAGTCTCACCTCCAGTTCTTTTAGTTTTTTAATAATTCCCACACTACGTTGCAATCAAATAACCATTATATACATAGAGTTAACGATTTATATGGTATGATGCAAGTAGATATTTTGTTTACGAAGATTAATGTAAATTGAATCTATATATTAAGCGAACTTGGAATATATCGAAGTAAATAGATTTAAATAGAAACTATTATAAAATTGGTTTCAATAAATTCGATTATATATATATATATATATATATATATATGCTTAGCGAGCTTAGAGTATATAAAATATATAAAAAAAAACTCACTTAAATTGCATAAAATATATCGAAGTGAATAGATTTAAATAAAAATTACTATAAAATTGGTTTCAATAAATTCTAATTATATATGTAAAATTAAATAAAACCTATGAATTTTTTTAATAATTATTAATTTTTCCCTTTAATAAAAAGGGAAAAAAAAAAAAAAGAGGCCAGCCGTTAGGAACTAACTAATGATTTTGTTAAAAAAAAAATGACTAAATAATAATTTTCTCTATTATAAACAGATATTTTGTGTTGTTTAAGAATAACTAATGTACGTGCAAATCCTATTTGATTGTTGTTATTATTATGTTTTTTTCATGATTAATGTTCTTGATATGTGATTATCAAATTATTTAAAATTTATTTATTTATTTAAGATTTTTTCGAAATAAAATTGATAATTAATTATTAATCGAATGGATAGCCTACTATTGTGCTGGTTAACCATGCTGATGGCCGCAAGGAGAAGATAATGGTCAATCATGAAGGGGAAAAAACCTCTAATATTTAGTGGAATTTTTATGGAATGACCCAAACCATGGTGCAATATTGCTAGACAAAGCAGGGCATAACCCAAACATAAGGAAATTAAAAGACAGTTGCACCAGAAAAAGGCTTAAAAAAAAAGAGGCCAGCCCAGCCCTTTAAAAAAAGAAAAAAAGGAAGAGCAAAGGGACTAATTAATCTATCTCTCAAAGAAAGAGGGATAAAAAAAAAAAAATACATGAATAGGGGAGATGAGTCTTAAGCTACAGGGAAGAAATAGTAACACATGCACTTTTTTTATTTTTATTTTTTATAATATTTTTAGCATTTATTATATTATTTTTTATATAGTTTTATGTAAATCTTGATAATTAGCAATTGATATAGTTTGTTTGATTTTTAAAACAAATAAATATATAAATTTTAATTGCATTAGAATAAAACTAGAGACAAAAAACAGTAAGTAGTTAGGATATACATGCATTTATCGCATCCATATTTGTTGTGACCGGATATAATTACATCTCTTAAATATATTATCAATAAAAAAATTGCATTAATTGATTTGCTTGCATAGTTATAAATTGGAAATATAATTTTCGTATCATATTTGTTGAAAGAAAATTCCACATCTTTCTTAAAAAAAAAATAGAAGAAATAAGAGAAAAAGGAGTTTCATTCTTTACTACAATGTATATATGGATAGTTGTTTTAATTAATAAATTAAAACATTATTTTGATGTTTCTTTTTAAAATTTAAGTTTTATTATTATTGGGGTTTTTGGGCTTCTTTTTTTTTTTTTTTTTTTAGCAATTTTAGAGTTTTCATAGGCAAAAAAAAAAAAAAAAAAAAAAGAAGAAGAAGAAGAAGAAGAAGAAGAAGAAGCTAAAATTGTACTTTATTGGTTAGTGATGATTGATGAGACTTATTTAATGTTATCTAAGGTTTTATGGGGTTAATAAATAGGGAAAAAAATAGGATTAACCTATTTTTTAGATTTTAAATTATAACACAAAGTGATAAAATAATATCTGTTTCAAAAGACAAGAGTAATTAAGAATTTAAAAATAAAATATATTATATATTTTTTTAAAATTTATATTTTTTATCAGGATATAAATTTCCTAAATTCAATTCTAATCAATAAAAAAAAATTATAAACATTGGCACCGAGTTGGAAAAAAAAATCTATCAAAATTATATAAATTTTGGGTTGATTATTTTTCATAGGTATGAAATTTATTACTATTCATGTTCAGACACTATACAAATAATACAAATAAACATAATTATAATAATTATGACAACACACAAACAAGATTATAATAATATATTCAAATCAATGAACTATTGATTATATATAAATAATTTAACAATCAAAATTATATCATCTTTACAATTAATGTGAGGGCATACGACCAATTAAGAAAAATATAGTTTTGATTGCTTTCACAGTAATTCTAATTCTAAGATAATGGTTGCTAGCTAGAATCTAAAGAATTAAAATTAAATACAGCCAACTTTCTATAACAAGATATTTCACAATTTTAACAAACCATTTAAAGCGCGCCATATAGTTTAGTAAATCTTAGAGCCTAGACTTTTTTTTTTCTTTTTTGTGTTTTCTCTTTCAATAATTTATTTTTATATTTTTTTTCTCATGAAATTAGGTGTAAAAATATAGAAAATAGATCTTTATTTTTTTATTTTTTATTTAGTTTTATGTATATATATATATTTTTTTTGTTTGAACATATATATTTGATTATATTACTCTTATTATTTAAAATTTATTTCTTTAATTATTTGTTTCTTATTAAAATTCTCATCAAATTAATTTTTTAATTTTTTGATATAATTTTAATTTTTAATAAATTTGGTTTTTTTATATATGGATTTTGGAATAATATTTTAGAGCTTGAGTGTTTTATTTTTAAAATATATTATTATAATTTATATGATGAATTATTTTTATGATTTTAATGAGAGTAGCATAGTTGCACATATATATAATTAGAATTTATCGGAACCAATTTTGTAGTAGTTTTGAGAGAGAGAAAGAGAAGTAAAAGTGTGTTTTACATAATTTGACTAATGTTTTTTTTTTAAAATTAATAATCAATTAAAAAAAAACTCACAAGTTTTGTTTGCTTTAGAACTTATCGAACCAATTTTATAGTATTTTTTATTTTAATCTATTTACTTCGATATATTTCATACAATTTAGGTGGGTATATATACATGAATCATTAGTTTTGTTAGAAATTAATCTATTCACTTTGATATATTTTATATAATTTAAGTGGGCATAATGAATCATCGGTTTTTTCGAAATTAACTATTTATCCGCACACATAATATCAATTATTAATTTTTATTTTTTTCATGTTCTAAAATATGTATTTTTAAATAAAATAATTTAAATAATGTTTTGAAAGAACCTTTTAATTATTTAAATACAATTTTTATGCTAATATTATTAATTATTTTGTTAATATATATATATATATATATATCAAATAATTTTGCTCAATAAGTAGATTCGATATATATTAATTAACGAAATAAGATTTCTACACACATCACATCATACAAATCGTTAACTCTATATATATAACAGTTAACGTAATCGAGATATCTAACTAGTTTATACTACAGAGTCTCAATTTTTTAGTTGAATAGAGTGATTAATCAAAATTTATCACTCCTGTAAAAAGCAAACTTGACTCAACCGAAGAAGCTTCTTTTACACATGGAACCCTCGCTATCTTCTCCTTTCAGACGCTGACTCTGCTTCAATCTCTCTGTTTCTTGCCAGCCTGTATGGTAATTACATGATCGAGCAAGGAGGGTCCTGATAATGGTTGGATGGGTAATGGATGTAGGTGTGAGGCGTGCCACTACCATACATGGGCCAAACAATTTCTTGCTGCACTTTTGGCTCTTCTTTTTTCTCTTCTTTCTTCTCTCCTCCCACAGCTGCCACGCTTACTATATCTGCATAGCCCATTTTCTTTTTCAGCAAAATTGTGAGTTTTGCTACATCAATTCCATCGCCTACTACTTCTATCTGGCTCTTATCTTGCCCTCCTATACCAGCAGATTCAACCCCTACATAACGATAAAAAAATATAAACCCATCAACAAATTGATCACCTGAATTTACCCACAAATGCATGTTTTTCTCAGGTGTTACGATTCTAAAACTTAGGCGTATGGAAGGTTCAGTTTACCTGAAAACCCAACTACAATCTTCAAGGCTTTGGAGCGGGATTTCTGGCCATTCAGTCTCACCTTGATCACTACCTTTTGCTGCAATATTTTAGCATAAATATTAATCATTACCAAGAAAGTAATATACTTCTCTCTTTATTTATTTATTTTTTTAATGAACAAGAGATATTATATACTTGTGTTTGATCAAAAATTCATACCTTCATGGTCTTGATTGTTGGAGATGATGATATGTAGGGAATGAGGAGCTCTTTCGAGTTCAGGAGACACCAGAAGTGATGCTTTTGATTTTGTTGGGTTTGGAAGAACAGGGGAGGGTGTAAAATAATGCTATTGTTGTTTCGAAGATGGGAAGTCTGTGAGGCAGTTTCTACTATTTATGGAGAGTCTTTGGTTAGAGTTTGCGTGAGGAGATTTCTATGCAAGTTCAAGGAACCTAAGGTTCTGATTCTTCTTTGAGTTTGACGAAGTAAACATATGACACTTCGTGTGGGGTTGTGCTAATCAATGGCCTAGCATGCCCAAGCCCCCAAGAAGACTGACAATTTTAGAAGGAATAGGTAGAATAATTAAGACAAGCAGGTTGGATTTATTACAACAGACGCTTAGTCTAATCCCCGTGTAGGGCTTGTTGTTTTTGTGATTGTTTACTGGTCATCTTCCATGCAATATTGAGGAAAGAGTCAGCATATTAAGTCAAATTCTATTCTACAATAACACTTGATTGCTCCTCCAGAAAGTGATGCCAGAGAAAAGCGAAAGGACTTAAAAACGTGAACGCTAAAAAAATCAACATGGAAGTTTGAAGATGAAGTACAACAAGAGCAGAACAGAATTACTTGATTTTATATTGATTAGGTGGCCACCTTCTTCTACATTTATATGTATTAGAAAAGATAGACTTAAAAAGACTTCTAAATTTAAGCTTTAATGGCATAATTTATCTTGAAACTATTAGAATTATGATAAAATAAAGCTTATATTATCAATTTAGCGATTTGGGCTCCAAATTATTAATTTTTGCCAAATTTTATTTTTCTCTATATCCGATAGCTAAAGTATCGATCTTTAACAAAAATGTTTAAAATGATGTTGTTTTAAGCATTTTTATTTTTTCTTTCAAATTAAAATTAATTTTGGAAAAAATATTCAGGAGTAATAGCTAGTTTTAAGAAAGTTTTTGTTGTTTATGGATGTGATTTTTATTGTTAGATAATTAATAATATGTAATGGATACAGCTCATATAAAAAAACTGAATTATTCATTTTTTAAAATTAATTCTAAAAAATAGAATAAAAAACTAAAATATTTAAAAGGATGTCATTTTAAGTATTTCAATTAACAATCAAAATTTTGATCGTTTAACATACATAACATAAAATGATAAAATTTATCAAATAACTAATAATTTGAGGTCCAAATACTCAAATTGATAACATAAATCTTATTTTGCCATAACTTTAACAATTTAAAACTAAATAATGTCGTTAAACCCGATTAGTCTAACGCAAGACTTTTTAGAAAGAAACTAGCCGGTTGCTCACGTTACGCTGCGGATTTAGTAGAACAAAATCATTTTAAAATTTAAAATTTTTTTATTTAATTAATTTTTTCGAATGTTTTTCATAAATTTTCATTTTAAAAAAAATATAAACCATTCTTCTTTATGAATTGATTAAAATAAAAAAAATTACAATAATTTTAACTAAAATATTAATCAAGAATTGAAAAAAAAAACTTAAAACATATTTTTCATAATATTTTATTTCAAAGAATAAATTTATAATTAATGGATAGATTTTTATAAAAATTAACAAATGAAAAAAAAATTCTTATTTAATGCTGATGAGAAAATTAATTTTTGAAATTATCCTCGAAAATGCTGAGGGTAGATAGAATAAAATCATTTCAAAATTTTATAATTTTTTCATTATTTTTTATTTAATTATATATATATATATATATATATATATATATATATATATATTTGTGTTTTTCATACAATTTCTACAAAAAAAAACATGATTTATTATTTTTTTAATTAGGGATTTTTAAACAAAAACTTGTAATAATTTAAACCTAAAAAATTAATTAAGAATTAAAAAATACTTTAAATTTTTTTTATAAGAATGTATCCAAAAAATAAAGTTACAATTAATGTATAGATTTGCATAAAAATTAACTAATAAAAAATAAAATTTTATTCTTATTTAATGTTCGTGAGAAGATTTTTTTTTTTAAGTATATGCATTTGATCTTTATATATTTATTTACAAAAGAATAATCAATATAATTAAAATAAAAAATTGTATTTAAATAATTAGTTGTTTCCTTTAAAAAATTATTTTAATTATTTTATTTCAAATAAAATGGTTCTATAATGTTAAAAAAATATTCATAGTAAATAATTTATATTATGTTAGAAGATGTATAGTTATTTGACCATACCTAGCGAGTTGAGATAAATTATTTGAAATACACTTTTAATTTTTTATAATAAAATAATTATATATTTATATATATGCAACTATCATTTAAAAATTCTAAGAATTCATGATACATATTATACCAATTTATGTTTTGAAAAAGAAAAATCAATTATGTTTTAAAATTTTATTCTAAAATTCAAATATAGAAAAGAAATAAATTATATTTATTAGTAAATATAGTTTTATATAAAAATATTATTGGATGAGAATTTTCATAAAAAAATGATAAATTCAAAGAATGAAATTTAAATAATAAGAATAATATAAGTTGAAGTATATGTTAATTTTAAAATAAAATATATATACGCTGCATGGAAATGAAAGAAAAATGAAAGCCGAGGATTGAAAAAAAAATGTTACAACATGAGGGACGAAAATAAGAAAAAAGTGTTAAATTTGCATATTAATGTCCAAAACACATAAAAAAACTACACACAAAAATGACTTAAATTGTCATCAAATAAATAGTAATTTTATGCATATGTACGGTAAGTGAATAGGAATTTTAGGCATATGAACAATTCGGATTTCAACGTTATGTCATAGATCGAACAAACATATTTATTTCAATTTGATAAGATATACTATATTATCGATTAATTAAATTACATTAAATTAAATATAAAAGATAAAATTTTATCTAATTTTATAATTTTTAATCAAAATTTTGTATTCATATATATTTTTTTATGTTTTGAATAATTTTTGAAGTAAAAAAAATATGATTTTTTTTCTTATGCATTTATTCTTAAATGAAAACCCATAAGAAACAAATTTTAATATAGATTTAAAAAATTTATTAATATTTTTTTTATAGCATTGCATCGAAGAAATAAAACAAAAATTAATATAAAAAATTGTATGAAAATTAACAAATGAAGCTTTTTATCGATGAGAATATTATTTTTTTAAATATATATATTTGATTTATATATATTTATTTATAAAATAATGAATAATATTAGTATACAAAATTGTATTTGAATTATTAAACGGTTATTCTAAAATATTATTTTAATTATTTTATTTAAAAAAATTAAATTTAAAATATTAAAAAAATAATAGCAAATAGTTGATATTGTGTGTAGATGCATAGTTGATTTCTAATAAAATCAATGACTCTAATATTATTATTTTTTATACATCATGACCGTACTTAATGGATAAGAATGTATGACATAAATTAAGAATTAAGCAAATAAAATAAGGTATAAAAAAACTTATTTGAATCCATACATAAAGAAAATAAATCATATTTATTAATAAATAAAATAATATAAAAATAAAAATTAAAATTAACTTGATGTGAATTTTTATAATAAACTGAAAATATCAATTTTAAACAATAAAAGTAGTATATATTTATTCTAAAACCTAAAAATATATCATATATATTATATAATCATCAGTTTATGTGAAAAAAATAACAAATTGATTTTTAAAAATTTTAACACTTAGTTAAATAAAAAAAAACATAAATTCATAAAAAAAAAAAAATCAAAGGAAGAAAAAAAAAGTGTAGTACATCAACTACATTCTTCAGTATGTGTGAAACGTTTTTACATCTTCTGTAATAAAAGACCAATCAAAGACTAATCCAATAATCTCTGTCACATATTCCTCTATTATTATCTCCAGTAAAGCGAAAAAATGGATGCTAAGAATTCAACCAGACCATGAACAGTTGCTTTTTGGGCTATCAGATAAGTGGCATGGGCAAATAGAGGAAAGAGAGCAAGTTGAAAAACAAAATTATAAAAAATTACAAAAACACCACATGATGAATAATAAATTAAAGCAAATAAACAGTAAATAAATAATATTTTACTATTCATTTGTTTTATATCTTTTAGTTATATAGAAATAAAAATATAGGGAGTAGTATATAAGGGACAAAATATCTAATTTAATCTATTGACCCCTTCGTCAAGTAAAGACGTCATGGTCTTTATCTATTGATTTTCTGTTTTTGGTTGGAGAATTAATTATATATTGGGGAGGTTTTGAAAAATAAATACTCTGATTTGAGATAACATTGACATTTATTCTTCTTTTTATTTAATT